GGAAGGGGGAGGGAGGGTATGGGTTAATTATTTTTTTAATTACATTATTTATTTATTTATTTATTTATTTATTAATTTTTAAAACTATTACTGAGTGCCTCGACCCCTTGAGGCACTCAGTAAGGGTAAGAGCATTTGAAGCCTGTGGATGGCTTCAGATGCTCTCCCTACACTGCCGGGCGCACATGCGGCAAACCCGGAAGCAGGGGCGTACCTAGAGCATTTGGCACCCGGGGCGGATCCTGTGCTTGGCACCCCCCCTCACCCCCCTCCCCCCAAAAAAACCTGTAAAAAATGTTAAAGGTTTTCTTTCTTTTTTTTTACAATTTGTAAACTTTGCAAAACCGCTGTCAGCCCCTCCTAAAAACCCCTTGTCCTGCCCCGCCCCTCCTACAAAACCTCTGTCCTGCCCCTTCTACAAATCCTGTACTGCCCCGTCTACAAAACCCCCGCAACCCCCTTCCACAAATCCCCTGCTTATCCCCCCTTATAAAGACTCCTGTCCCAATACAAAACCCCACCCCTTCTACAAAATCCCTGCAGCCCCACACACACATTTACAGGCAGACAGTCACACACTCAGTTACAGACAGACAGTCACACACTCAGTTACAGGCAGACAGTCACACACACATTTTCCTCCATTGCGGCCAGTTTATCAGCTGTTTGCTTGTGTGAGCTGACTGGCCGCACGGCACCCTAACTACCATGGGACACTGTGCGGCCACAGCTCACACAGCCCCCTCCAGCCAGGGCCGGTGCAAGGATTTTTGCCGCCCTAGGCAAAAGTAAAGTTTGCCGCCCCCCATGTGACATCACAATGCCCCAGCCATATGATTTGCCATGTTAACTAACGCCAGTGCTGCAGTGCCGCCGTGTTTACATTAAAAAGGCCTGCAGGGACAGGCTATAGACACCAGAACCACTACATTAAGCTGAAGTGGTTCTGGGGACTATAGTGTTTCTTTAATGTGAGGTAAATTAGAGCTTAGTGCCACAAATAATATACTAGATTGCCTACTTACAACCAGATGAGGGATGATGATGGGCTCTAGCTGCAGTCTGGCTCCACTGGTCTGGTGCAGAACAGGCTCTCTGGAGGCGGTTTGTAACTGTGGTCACAAAAATCAATGTTCTGGGAGAGCGGTAAGCAGCTCCATTTTTTGGGGGCCCTTTACACAGCTCAAGGTCTGGGTCCCAGGGTCCACCTTCATGGTCCACCAATGAGTTTGTTCACAGGGGGTGGAGTGTGTAGGGGATGTCCTGATATGTGTGTAAGGAATGCATTGTGTGAAATTGTGTTTGTATGTGTAAGGGCTGCCAGGTGTGTTTCTGTGTATGTATGGGATGCATTGAATGTGTGTAGGGGGTGCATTGAGTGTGTGTAATGAATGCATTGTGTGTTTCTGTGTGTGTAAGGGATGCATTGTGTGTAACGGTTGCATTGCTTGTGTATGTGTGTCTGTGTGTGTAATGCATTGTGTGTTTTTCTGTGTGCAAGGGGTGCATTGTGTGTATGTGATGAATGTCAATCTCTCCTCCCGCTCCAATTTCCTTCTCCTCCTCCCAATTTCTCTCTCACCCCCCTCCTAATTTCTCTCTTACCCCCGCTCCTATTTTCTCTCACCCCCCTCCTTTCTCTCTCACCCACCTTCTTTTTCTCTCTCTCCCCCCCCTTATTTCTCTCTCTCTCACCCCCCCTTATCTCTCTTTCTCACCCCCCCTTATTTCTCTTTCTCACCC